ATGTTGAGATATAATGCTAATCGTAATAAAATCTTCAAAAAAGACATCTTTCATTTTTCAACGTCCAAAATATAAAACATTTACATTTATAATTTTTTATATACAAACTTTTAAACTCTTCTTTTCAATTTTGCGCACGTAAATGACAAAAATATAGGTCATGTGTTTTAATTTAGATTATTATGTTTATTATTATAATTTATATGATTAACATTAATATTAATTGTACCTACTATCAATTTATGTATGAAGCTTATCTATTCTGCTATATTCTACACATGAATAGAAATGTCTTGGGTGTGCCCATAGCGTTTCCAAAGTGGATCTTAAATTTTCATTAGCAAATGAAGCCTCGGGCGGCCATTTAAATGTTTAACACGGTCTATTCCGCTGGGCGGCGGGCACGAAGAAATTGATCGCGAAAATTGCGTTTAATAATAAAGCTGCATCATCACTCTTTCTTCCGATCGACGAGCCATCGTTCGTTACTTATAGAAATATTTTCACTTGTTGCATTAGGGCTTGAAATGGCGAGCCCCTCGAGCCAATAATCTCATCAATCCCGTTACGTGATCTTTCACGCACATCGACGTCGAATCAATTTCCCCGCGACGTCGCCGGTATCTTTTCCTAATTGAAAAACGACTTCTGCGAGTGAGCGAGACACCATTCATGCCGTGGAAAAAGCGGTAACTGCAAATTCCCGCTTCCATCTTCGCACGAAAGAGGATCAGCCGGGAATGATCGATGTTCGTTGTATACGAGATGTCCCAAAACTCGATCTCACTTCTAAGGCTTTCTTCAACCTTTTAAAGATTCTTCATGGATAAGAACTGAATTGATCACTATTCAGTTTTTCATGAACTGTTAATTTTTATTTTTGACATTGCAAATTTTTGATATTAGATATGTCTTGATATATCTATGTCCGTTAAAGTAAAAACCAACTGGAATTGTATAAATACACTAAACTTTTGCCATTTATTATGTAATTTGCGAGACTCTGTTCCTAATTTCTCGCGATTCAAAAGATACGGAAATCAAAAGTCCACAGGCCGAATAAATGTCACGATGATTTTAAAACACCCTGTGCAAAGAACTTGTAAGTCTTACGAATTCGGGGGGGGGGGGGGTACGACTCTTACGTCCGCTTTAAGCGGCTTTTAAATTGTAGATCTATTTCGAGAGGTGTCTCCGACTGTCTGACTACTCGACGAGACGTATAGATTACAATCTCATTGCTACACCTTGCGAAAGTGGATCTCATTCGCGATGCAAAAAGATGCAAACGGTCCCATCGGCGGAAGAGAGCATCTCACGTTTCACGAGTCTCCTCCAATCCCGTTCGAATGTATGCGTAAAAAACGAGTTACACGTTCGTCCTCTCGAACCTAGGAGCGCGCGTCTACCAAAGCGCGCAACGATGGATGTGCTTACAACGGGATGTTGACGAAGAACCACCAGGGTCCATCGACGGTAGATCCTGAATGAGCTAAATTACAAGAAGATGTGATTGCGTCTCCGCGCATAGGAAAAAAAAAGAAAGAGCAGGATTGACTCAGAAATCTGGGATGTTAACGGGGCATACGAATGCAGTCTTTTGAATTATTCCGACTGTACGGCGAAATCTACTCTCCCGCTTTACAATTGAGATCTCCACACACAATCTCCATACACGAGGAGCCACAAAATTCGGCTATTGCCACGTCCCCCGGACGGATTGTCGCTTTATCTATTTGGAGATGCGCGCGACGGAGAAAGAGACGGAGAGAGCGAGTCGCCTAGTCCGAGCACTCCGAGCCCGAGTAGACCGACCGACGCGCGACGGCGACATTGTCCCCTCGACACGTCTTGCAGTCGGAAATTTCATATTTCCATTCATACAGGCGGCGGAGGCGCGAGAGTCGTCTTACATATGACTCGACCCGTGAATGCAGACGGCAGGAAACCCCGCGAGATCTATTGTTACACCCAGCAGTCTCGCTCCGCGTGGTGATATCGGATTTCGGTGGGATCGATGATAGCCGGGGATACAGTTTAACACCCCCCCCCCCCCCGCGCGCCAAGTCTAGTCTATGTCCGTTTCTCGTGTCTCGTATCCGACGGACGGGGGATAAAGTGCGGTGTTTAATTGCAACGATAGCGCTCGCACACGTTTAATTGCCACCCCTCGCCACTTGTGTACCCCGATCGACCGCCGTCCGTGCTAGCGGAAGTCGCGCTAAAATTTTTACGGCGTCGACATACGCGGATACGGGCGCTTGCGACCCACCCGAAAAAGAACGTGTATGACAATCTTCCGGACGACCGTTCCGGTCGGCGCGCATTTCGACTTTTTTACGACTCATTAAAGCGGCCGAAATCGAAATTACGGCGCCGCGATATATACCATGTTTTATTGACGATAAAGCCGGCGAGGAGTAATTAGGTTCGTATCAAGTTTGCAAACTGCTTCATTTTAAGACTTTCGGAACTCCGCACACCCGCGTACGCGCGCGAGTGCCATCGATGCTCGAGGAGTGGCGCCGTTAATTTGCATGAAAGTAATCCGCAAATGAATATTCACCCGGCATATCATTAAGACCGTGAAAGGGGACGCGCGGGCCAGCCAGAGTTAAGAGTTAATGTTCACGCGTCCGTAACGATCAAAACATGTTCATTCCGTATTTATATATGTAAACCGTTGCGGAACTCACAGTACAAAATAAACATGAGCCTTCCTGCCAATTTAACAAGCATTCGATGTCGCCTTACCCCGGTCCCGAGCGAGGAGCTACCGATCTAAATAATCTAAATAATTAATAAACCATCATGAGAACGTATCGAATAACGCAAAAGCGAATGACACATTTTTAACGTTAAACGATCTGTGCAATTACGCGCCATTGCCTTTATACGTCTTACCCTGAAGTATAGTTATGGATTGGATATATAACGCTATAACTCTTTTAATCCAAGAGGAGACGTTGTAAAGTAGATTCTTGAGCCATCGCACGCCGATCGGCCGCGTATAAACCGTCGATGGACGATTACAGGGCGGAAAATAAAATTTCTGCGGGAAAACGTACGTGCCGGTGTGATAAAAGCGACAACAAATTTCGCGGATGGCGGGAGTTACGCGATTACGTGACGCGTCGGCCGGGAAGGTTACGAGAAAGTTTCTGGAGTGTAAAGTGGGCTTAAGGCAGCCGGAGGATAAGAAGTCACCGAGGCGAGGCTTTATGAGGAAGAGAGGGTTATAGAAAGAGAGACGGCGTAGTCGTGAGAATGTACACGGCTAAGCAAAAAATTCCTCTAGAAAAGTGCTCGAAACGGCCCGGAAGTTTCACGGCACCCGGATCCCCTTGACATCCGGGTCACGTACACCGGCATCTTTTAATAAATAATGCATCGTCGATATTTGGTGCGAGATGCTGTAATTTCCCGCGACTACATTTTTGACATGCTTTTACGAGGGACAGAACGAACGGAATTAATAAAAACGTGAAAATTATGACGATTTACAATACAGTCTGAAAACAAAAAACGTTCTACAATATATTTTTCGACGACAAATATAATTAACAGTCATTTTTTAATTATTTAAATTTAAGCTACTTGTTAAATCAATATAATTTCTTCATGTTTCACTCAAGCTATGTATATTTATAAGTAAATATTTACTTTTAAAAAAATTATATAAATAAATGGTTAATTAACTAAAGTTAATTAACTAATGGAGGTTAATTAACTCTCCATATTAAAATTATAGAAATTATATATTTTAAATTTAATTTATTGTTTTTTATGTCTTTCACGTATGGCGATCTGTTAATGTTAAAAATAAGTAATTGCAAAATAAAAAACCGTTTATTCATTGCAAATTGAATTGTTACCTCCACTACGATACTACGATACCTGAATTTTAAGATTATGGAAGACCAACCGAGGAGAGAACGGCGAGACTGCGTAACACGATCTTGAGCAGAAGGAAATTTTTATTAGCTCCTTTTTCGCGCGCAAAAAACCTGAATCCTAAAAGCACGCACCCACCATGCAGGTAGATCCCTTCATAATCTCGACCTCTTTATCTCCTTGCCCGCCCTCTGTAGTATCG